GAGTTGGTCTTGCCTGTTCAGTTTACAACAAAGCAGATCTGAAACTCCAAGGTTCTACATCTAACTCCCAAAAGATCCCTAAATATAAAATGTCGAACAGACAAGTTCAAGTATCTCTTCAATCATAAGCCATCATTTCAGATTTGCTTTTTTGCCATCCATTTTAAATTTGACAAACCAGGCAAAACTTAAAAGTGAAGTTAGTACATGGATTTGTTGTAACATCAAAGAATCATTATGTTTGATCCATAACACGGTCATTTAGGGGTCAAGGAAGTTAACAGTAAAAACTGAAATCATTAATCAATGACATAGAGGTGTTGTGCAAAACCAAGGCAAAAGCTCTCAAAATTTCACGTCAATATAAGGAATAAAGCTGATATCCATAGGTCATGAGCGATTTATATTGCACTTTAGTAAGAAAAAAAAAAAAGCAGGAGCATTATTGTACCAAGTTGCTTTGCACCCAAAAATTATATAGCATGAAAATTACTTAACATGATCTGCACTATTCCTTGAAACAAGTAATGATGATATTATAGATAATAAAGAAGGTACCCAAAAGAGAACTGGAAGAGAACCCAGCAAAAAGCCCATGTTGAACTATAAATGTGATACTCCTTACTGGAGCTTTTATTTGCTTCAGTTGCGACTTAACTCGATCTATGAAGCTCAAACATGTAATATTAATCCAGCTAATGCCAGACACCTGGCCTCATGTCCAATGGAAGTTCTTAATTACTAGACATATCTCATGGATTTTGGATTCCAGATGACCAGAGGGTTGAATATGATAGTAAATACACAAGTGACAGTAACAACCAAAGCTGAGAGCGTCTTAGGCATCAAGTGCAGTGAGAATCAGAGGAACTGCAGAGGCATATTATTCTAAGCAACCCTTCTATATACACCTCACATCCAAATAAGCAAAGTACTCAAGAACATTTAAGCAAGAAATGAAGATCATCTGGTGTAAAATAAGGAGTATTGGAATTCTGCATTACAGATAAGCAATGACATTTGGGATCAAATAATTCAAAGGGGGGAAAACATTTGCCTAGAACTCAAATAAGACAATGCCAACAATGGGCATTTGGTCTAGTGGTATGATTCTCGCTTTGGGTGCGAGAGGTCCCGAGTTCGATTCTCGGAATGCCCCTTCATTTAGCTAAATTTTTTAATTTACTCGAACTTAATTAACTCTCCAAGGGCTCATTCATCTCTGGCTGATTCTACAGTTGAGTATGTTTAGATATTACAACCAGATATGGGAAACTTCCCCCTTTCTACAACTACTTCCAATGTTATGTCTCTCTGTATACATTATTTTTACATTGGAGGATCCCCCAGACACAGGAGAATTCTCATCCCTCCTAAAAATCATTTCATAAGATGATACTCCAGACAACTGAATATGAAACTTCCAACTATCATTTAGATTGGGGGACCAACAAAAGCAGGGCATTTGGTCTAGTGGTATGATTCTCGCTTTGGGTGCGAGAGGTCCCGAGTTCGATTCTCGGAATGCCCCTTGATTTTGCTAAAGTTTTATTACTCTTAAGTTGATTTAACTCTCCAAATGCTCCTTCATCTGTAACTGACTCTGCAGTGCCATAGGAGACAATTTCCTCCTCTACAGTTGAGTTTGTTCAGATACAACCAGATATAACCTACTTCAATAATGTCTACAATAAAGCACCTTTAATAGCATAGTATGCCTCTCTATATACATTATTTTAACAAAGGGAGGGAGGGAGAAGGAAGAAATGATCTCCTATGACTACTTACAAATTGAATAGAAGAAAATGACCTTTTCAGATCTCTTATATGTAAAAATGAAGATATCTATAAAACTAAAATCAAATTCGTAAAGGACCATAACACCGATTGACCCAAGGAAGGATCCCCCCAGTCCCCAGAGACTAGAAAATGCTCATCCCTACAAGAAAATCATTTCGAAAAATGGTACAAGCTCCAGACAACTGACACGAAACTTCTAACTATTTCTTAGACTGAGAGACCAACAAACAGCTGGGCATTTGGTCTAGTGGTATGATTCTCGCTTTGGGTGCGAGAGGTCCCGAGTTCGATTCTCGGAATGCCCCTTGATTTTGCTAAAGTTTTAATTTATTCTAAGTTGATTTAACTCACCAAGGGCTCCTTCATCTCTTGCTGACTCTACAGTTGAGTATATTCAGATATTACAACCAGATATTGAAACTTCCCACTGTCTACAACTAAAACACCTTTAATAGCATTGTTATGTCTCTCTGTATACATTATCTTTAGCATTGGAGGAGCACCTAGACACGGGAGAATTCTCATCCCACCAAGAAAAACATTTCATAGGATGGTATAAACTCCAGATAATTGAACATGAAACTTCCAGCTATCATTTAGACTGGGGGACCAATAAAAGCAGGGCATTTGGTCTAGTGGTATGATTCTCACTTTGGGTGCGAGAGGTCCCCGAGTTTGATTCTCGGAATGCCCCAAATTTTTAAGTGCCTTTTTACAAGCCTGTACTCCTGATAGTTATAAAGGATTTTAAGGCAAATGTAGGATATCCATTTAACACTTTGCTGAATATTCAATAGTGAGATTTGTGTTCTGGAAACTGCAGTAAGCACATCATGCATTTATGAATTTGGTAGGATTCCAATGATTAATGGTTATTCATTTTAGACAGTTAAAATTAATTAGTTTAGTAATCCAAACAGTTCTAGAACTGATTCTTCTTTCAAGTGTATTTTAGTAAACCACATATATTGCTTGACTTGCAGAGCTCTTTCCAGTCTCCTGGTCAGTACATATTCTGATGTAAAGTCAGCCAAGTCAATCAGCCAAAAGTCATGTTTTTTTCAAATAACAACATTTAGGCCAAGATGCATCCTTATCAAATAAAGAAAATGGAATGGCAAGACTTGATGCTCTGAAAGCTAATTTTTTCAGAACTACAAGATAAAAATAACAAAGCACGAGTGCTGGTAGTATATGGATTTGTGCTAACCTCTCTAGTTTACAAGTAAGCAGATCGGAACTCCAAAATTCAACATAGAACTACCAAGAAATCCCTATATACAAAAGATTAAATAGATTAGCACAAGAATTATCTCACCTATGATAAGGAAAATTTAAAGGTTTACAGTTTTCCCTTCAGAAATAAATCAAATGTTTGCTTTCCATCAAAGTTTGTTGATATTAGACATGCAGATCAACAATCATAACTGAAATATTTAGCAGAACAGTGTTATTTTTTAAATTCATTTGATGAGGAGCAGAAAGGTGTTACTAAAAATCAAAAAGTATCATTTGACATTCTTTTTGGAAAAAAACTCTATGATTTCCTACTCGCATCTGAAGTTAAAATGGATAACGCTAGTGATGAGTCATTTTATTTCAGTTTACTTGAGCAACGACGCATCATTTCTACAGTCCAGACATAATTATGCTTTGTCAATGCTTGCACTAAACTTCACCTAGTGTATTGACTTCAAGAGCAGTTTGTTGTTTCCCTTAAGTTAGTGTTTTATCCAATCCTAAAACAAGCATTTCTACAAACAATTAAAACAAATCCTAGACAAAGTGTGCAAAGGAATTTTCATTAAGTCTCATCGCACATGGCACATGTTAGATTAGATGGGTCCCTTCCAACTCACAATCAAGAATAAATGAAACAAAATCGCATAAATCAAACCAATACCAAGTAGTGAGCAAAGAGTAAACAAATGACCAAGTGTCACTAATAAGACCATTTCTCTCAATGTTATCCACTTTTCCAGCAAAAATTTAGGAGGGATATTCCACAAATTTGAAAGAGTCTAAATAGTGGTACCAGAAAAACAAGTTATCCAAAGACAGCAATCCAACAAAAACACATTTTTATTCCCTATTAGCTACCAACTACCCCTAAAACACACCCGGTTCAAAAAAAAATACTTTTTTTGGAAAAGAACTGTGGCTTAAAAAAGGAAAAAAATGTCAAAACCTTATAGACTAAAGATATAACACAGCATTCCAAAATATTATCTCATTAATCACTCGGAGAACTAGTGATAATTTAACATATCAGACTACGAATCACGGGAAAAATAAGAGACAATCCATTTTAAGGGTTCACAATTCAGCCATGGGATGAAGATCAAAGTTACAGTGAGGGAACAGGCTTCATATGTAGATTTAGTTACCACATGAAAGAATCTAAACATCTAATTGAAATGGTAAATCCAGGAAAAAACCAAGTACTTTTAATACATTAGTTCTAGCAATGTTGCATTTTTAATTCCTAAAAGGTTCACATATATGAGCTCTCACATGCTAATTGTAACAGCCTGGTAAACCGTTGCCATGAGGCAGGTGCAAACTCGACCCATTGGCCTCCTCACAAACAATTCTCCACCCCGCCCACCACCAACAGTAAAGATGAACATGTGACCTTGCTTTGAAGCTAATTAAGAGAATCCAAGCACACAATTCAAAATGCTAAAGGCAATAAGTGAAGTAGTTTAAGATTTTAATAACCTTTTCGGATGCTCTTATGCCCCTGATGTGGAATGTCATATATCTCCGCCACAAACCACGCTTTCTTCCATCTAACAAGTGGTTAGGAAAATATCAGATATTGATGTTAATCAAAACTTAGAAGTCCCCATCAGAAAATGAATTCTACATTAGCTAGTGGAACTCTTAGTAATTGCAACACTACAAAACCCCTGACTAGGATATTTCAATGTGTCTACTTGAATACAAAACCTAACAAGTAAATATGTAATGTAAGCAAGAGCAGATAACTACTTATTCAATTCAAAAGTTGACATAAAAAGTGAGATACCTTGCGGAACCCCGACCTCTGATGAAAAAACAAAACCATTTAATTTCACAAATTTGCATAGAGTATGACCACAAAGAAATGACAGAAATATTTGGAAGCTAAATCTCAATATATGCTACTCCCTCCATCCCAATTTTTAATTTTTTTGGTGTCCGGGCTAGCTTTCACACACCTCGACTAATTCCACGGGGTACCTGCCAACTCCCGCCAGCAATAGGAACCATGTAACTCTGTCAACCCCATTCCAATTTTACTCTTCATGTTTGGGGAATATTTGATACAATGATACCATTATAAAACTTTCACAACTTTAAGAAGTTCGAATTGACGAATCTATCAAATTCTATCTTTTGAATGGTTTTCAATCAAACTGATTTCTTCAACTAGTACTTAGATATATTTTTTCCTCTAAGAGGCAAGTCAAATAAACACGTTAAACTCCATATCCTACAAAATGAACCAGAGTAAGTACTAAATACTACTTTTACCCCCGAAGAATAAGAATAGTAAGCAAAATACATATAAAGCGAAGTAACACTCAAACACAAACAATTAGGTCACACTACGAAACAAATTAACAAACAATTTGGCTGTAATAGAGTATGAATTCGACAAAAACTTATTGAAAAATTAAGGAAGATGAACAAACCTGAAGTGAATAATCACAGCCCTATAAGTACCTCGGAGTCGGAGAATGTTCTTAGCAATAAGCAGAGAATTTTTTAGTATAAAATTAGAACTCTTTAAATTATTACAGTATATTTTTATTCTTAATTGTACCCAGCGTGCCGTTTTGCGCGCGCATTTCTGATTTTCTTCTTTTTCTTTTCCCCCTCTGTGGGAGAAATTATCTTTTTGTGAAGGCTTAAAACCAAATTGTAATTCGAAAATATAAAATCAAAACAAATTTTATATATATTTATTTTTTTTATATGCAAATTATTACTTCATATCTAAATTTTTTGAATTCTTTTTCACTTTTAATTTTTGGTGATAGGTGATATTTATCAATTAAATGTTGGAAAATATTGTTTCACCAAGACAATCATTATATAAATTGTTAACATAATTCTATAAGTAATAAGTTGATAAATTTTAGATAAAGATAAAAGTTAAAATCATATAATCTAATTCTTAATAAAAGATAAAAGTTTCCGAGATGTATTGGTCAAGAGAATATACCTCTGTATAGGTGTCATGAGTAGGTTTGCTTATGGTTATAGTTTAAAAACTCAATTGAATAGTTATTTGAACCCAATCGATTAAGAAAATGGATATTTTAATTGGTTTAATTTGGTTATGTTTGGTTTTAAATTTTGAAAACTGACACTATTTGGTTTGGTTTGGTTTTGGTTGTACTAAAAATATCGCAAAATAATCAAATCGAACCAAGAAATTATTTATATAAATTTTATAATTATTTATATATTATTCATAAATAAAATATAAATATTTTTGTAAAGTTTAATTAACTTTAAGTTTTAACTTTATCATTTTCTCAAGTCCAACACTTAAATTTTAACCCAAATGTTACAGCCCTAAGTCAAGTCCATCAAAATCTATTACTTTAGTCTCTACCTACCCTACTTCACATAAGATAGTCATATTTTCTCTTAATTGAATCACTTTATTCGTATAATAATAACTTTTGTATTACTTAATTGAATCCACATAGTTTTCATGTGGATTGTTCATGTACTAGATGTCTGTGTCTATCGAGATATGTATATCCTGAAAAAAAATTATTACTTTCAAATCAAATTAAAAAAATCGACAATTATTTTTTTCGTTTGATTTGGTTTAATTTTTTATCTTTTCGTTTGATTTGGTTTGGGAATCAGGATTAAGAGTTTGGGAGTTCTAAATTTTCTTTAGAACTATCCATCAATTTTGTTAGGGGTTCACAAATTAATATACATATATTTAATTAATTTCTAGTACAAATACAAAGTATACAAAAAGGCTATTGGATTCTTCCGAATCCATGAACCCCCACCTAGTTCCGCTTCTGCATGCAACAATATTTGCTTACATTCAATTACAGGTGTAATGATAATTTTCAAAAAATGAATGTATTAATGATTTCAAGTCATACACTTTAAAATGAGTAGAGAAGCTAGGTTTTGTTAATAGGATTAAATTATAATTTGTTATTGACCCATCTTGATTCAACAAATTTTTATCCAAATAAATTTTAAACAGATTTGATCATGATCCAATAATTAATTTTACATATTTTGATCGTATAATCTTCAGCTACTTTGCCAAATAATATATACTTCTATTTTTCTCTCAAAATTTGGAGAGATTCATATTTGATGGGCGAGTTAGTAATTTAGCATGTTTATAGTGTGATGACTTAAACTTAATACATAAGGTACTTATTTTACTTGACTAATTGGCAAGTGACAAACTTAAGCAGACATTTGATCATAGGATTTGAGACATGGATTTAAAATTAATATTTGTTTATGAAATATTAATAAAATTATAATTTCAAATGATGATTGGAAATTTGAAATTCTCCAAGAAATAAAAAAAATCCAATTTGCGATTTAAAAATAAAATAAAATGTAAAACTCTACCCATATGAATACATTTTGCACATAAAATCCATCATTTTAAATTTAGAAAAAAGAATCAAGCTCGTTGTAAAGAAATTGTATGTACGATGTAGGAGGATATATAAAAGAATAACTAATTATTCCGATCAACGAATACAACAACAACAAAATAACTAGTGTAATTCCGCAAGTAGGTTCCGAAAAGGGTAATGTGTACATAATCTTGCTCCTACATTGTGAAAGTTAATTTATTCAATAAGTTAATCTTTACAAAAAAAATAAAAATGTATGTATTTTAAAAGTTTGCAATAACATGTGATCACAATTAAGTTTTTATATAAAAAAAAAAATAGAGATATGCAATATGTAGTGTCTTAGAATATTATATTACCTTATTTGTGAATTATAATTGTAAAATAATTTGCTAATTGATAAGATTGTTTAAGAGTTGATTTTTTTAAAAATATTCACAAAATGTGATTTCTTTTCATGGTTAGAAATCATATCCAAACGAGCATAATATTTTTATTTCACATTCGTCATCAATCCTAACCTACTTCCACATTTTCTTAAAAAATTTCTTAAAAGTTTGTTAATCTCTTGGTGTGAATCAATGTTGTTAAAATATTATTAGGATTCTGCAATGTTCTCCCCTAGGTGAGACATTTACAAATGGTTT